ATCTGGAGTCACATGTAGGCCAGACCAGGTAAGAATGGCAGTTTCCTTCCCTAAAGGACATTAGTGAATCAGATTGGCTTTCCTGACAATCAATAATGAATTCATGGTCATCATTAGATTCTTAATTCCAGATATTTATTGAATTTCCACCATTGGCTGTGGCAGGATTCAAACCCTGGTCCCCAGGACATTATCTGGGTTGCTGAATTAACAGTCCAGCGATAACACCACCAGGCCATCGCCTCCCCATTCATAAATCAATGGATGTTGAGCCAGAAAGGAAGCTGTTAGGAAGAGTGACCAAAAGATTGGCCAAAGAGGTAGAAGGTGATAAAGGCGCTGATTAAAATTTCACTCATGAATGTGCTTAAGTTGGGTCTAAAGCAGGTAATTTTATGAAGGTGTTAGTGATAGTCAGAGAATATGAGGTTTGAAATTCTTCTTAATATTGACTAGAGCACCAAAGTTGTGAACAATCCCATTCCAGCAGAAGTAAATTGAAAGCAGGGGGTCGGAAATGGTGTCAGAAGTATTGGTGAGTGTCGATAACAATGCTTTTGTCTTCCCAATGTTTATCTGGAAAAACAACTGCAGTTTAACCAGGACCAGCTTTTGAGCATGCAGCTGATAACACAGAGGCAGTGAGATGTTCAAGAGAAGTGGGGTGGCATCAATGTACCAATCTATCCTGGTCCACCCATGTTGTTGCCACAGTCAAGAAAGTACAACAATGCCTCTACGTCCTCAGGAATGTACGGAAATTCAGTGTGACTGCAAAGACTCTTACCAATTTTTATAGATGCACTGTAGAAAGCATTCTATCTGGATGCATCATGGCTTAGTATGGCAACTGCTTTACCCAGGATTGTAAGAAACTACAGAGAGCTGTGAACACAGCCCAGTCCATCATCCAACCTAACCTTCCATCCATTGACTCTATCTACACTTCTCACTGCCTTGGGAAGGCAAACAACATAATCAAAGACCCCTCCCACCCCGGTTACAAATTATTCCAACCTCTTACACGGGCAGAAGATACAAAAGCTAAACATGTACCAACAGATTCAAGAACAGCTTCTTTCCCGCTGTTATTAGACTTTTGAATGAATGTCTCAAATTTCAAATTTAATGCTGATCTCACCTTTTGTACATCTTCTCTGTAGCTGTAACATTGCATTCCTTGCCCTGTTCTGTTACCCTTATGCACTTTGTGTACTGCACGCAAAACAAAACTTTTCACTATTTGTGACAATAACAAATCAAACCAAATCAAATCAAAATCAAATCTATGTAGATGCAGAAAGAATAATGTTTCCCAAATTGAGGAAGAAAACCTAACACCATAACTAAAATCAAATACTAAAAATGGAACTGATCAAGAGAACACCCACTGAGCAGCTGGGTAAAGGAGGAGAGATGTTGGAGGAGGATAGTGTGATTGGCTATGTCAAAGCTTGCAGGGAGGTAAGGGAAGACAAGAGAGATAATGAAACACAGTAACAGTCATGGAGGATATTGCTTTATGATGGATTATGGCTGTTTCAATACTGTAACTAGATGATTGGTTGGTTGGAGAAATTTAAACATTGAATTATAAACATTACACAGAATTTAGAGATGATTTGGAGAGGTTGGGGAGATGGTGCAAGGGGTGGTCATTTGTAAGGAAAGAGGAGCTGAGGGTGATCTATATGAAGGGGGTATGGTGATGAAGTTAATGGCTTTGAAAACATGGGAGGGAGTACCTGAGGAGAGACAGCCACTGATAATATTAGGTAATTTGAGAACCAGGAGGAGAAGTTGGATGGTTGGCAATTTAACAGGAATGGAATCAAGAGAGAGATAGATTTCAATAGGGAGATGACAGGAGCAAAGACAGGTGAGAATTTAAAGAAAGGTGTGAATTTAAGGCTGGGGCAGGACATCAGCGAGTGTCTTGGCTTGGCATTTGCAGACAAGATAAAGGGAGGAGGTAATCCTTGAACTCTTCAAACTTGCTGTTAGAGGTGAAGGTTGGAGCGATTGTAGAAGGGTTTTTCAATTAGAGAAGGGAAACCTGAGGGACAGCCTTTGTTGGTCAGGGTGATCCTGAGATAATGAACAGTTTTGCAGAGCAGAAAAAAGTTTGCTAATGCTTGTTGCAATCAAATTGGTGATGGCTTGCTAAAGCAACTGTGTGCTGTGTATATACTCCACTGTTCTTGTTGAACAGCAGGGAGTGAAGTTGAATATCAGCAGATTGGGGATATCATGGAGCCCGACACAGTCAGAACCAATTTTGTCCTTGCCCTGTATCTGTGCATCCAAAATTCAGCAGGATCTGTGGGTAACTTCTCCATCCCAGATTCCTTCAATGCTGACCAGTAACCTGAGTAAGATTGGCTCAATTATTTTGATTGAATTCACTGGATAACAATATTAAACTAATACAAAAGTAATAATAATGATTAGAATGTAGAAGATGTGACTATTAAAAAAGTGTTGTTATCTGATGGGGAGGGAGGGCGTTTTCACAGTTGAGCCCCAAGTTCCTTTGTATCAGCTGACCACACCAAACTAGTGCTGGAGTGTTATCACAGAAAACATCTACAAATGTATTAGTTGGAGATTCCAGTTACAGAAGTGATTCTCATTATTGATGAATCTTCTATGACATTGAGAGGATGTGTTGTTTTATAATATGGATCCTGTGAGGACCAATTATTCTTCTTCTCTCTAAGAGCTGGGAATTTCTATAAATTTCTCTGACGACAACACTTCCAATACCTGTTGCCCACTAACTTGTCTCTCTCTCTCCTCTCACCCCCTCAACAAGGATCCCACAGAATTGTGCCTTTGGAAAGCTTCTTAATCTCCAGGCAATGGAATTAAGTTGTATGTCAGAGATGAGAAATGACCAGTGAACACGCCAATATTCACACAATGCCATGTAATGCTGAAAGATGTCCACCAGTACCATATTTTTGCTCCTTTAGTGTTTCAACTCAAGACAGCAGCAAGAATGAGATATAGAAGGGGTGGGGGGGGGGGGGGTGGTGGTAGTGGGTGACAGTCACTGGGGGCTGTCAGGGCAGGATCATCCTCCTCCTGAAAGTATAATATCATAACTAATCGGCTCGGTTCCAGTAGCAGAACATATGACTCATTTCCTCAGCAGAACTCAGTTTAACTGAAGCAACATCCATTTGCTTTCTATTCGAGCAATATGTGAGCTGCTCAGAATCACTACACAACATCAGTGGCCAGCAATTAAATGAGAGCAACTTGCTTTATTGTCAAGGAAAAATCTTCCCTGGACAAATGTATGAATGTGAGGTTTAGCAACAGTAGAATTAGATAGATGCAGACACAGACATTGAAACAGAAGTGAAGATAAGTAGTCGTGGTGAAGGATTTGGTTAGCATTTCAAAGTCAATTCAAGATTGAATGAGAAAAAGAGGGACGAGCCCCACTGGGTTCAGCTTAAGTGGGCATTAAGTTGCCAGGGACTAAGGCATAGAGTTTCTGGCAGAGATTGAGCTGGTAGTTTCATTCCTCTCAATCACTGATCACTTGAAACCAGACAGGCAGCCAGACAGTTCGGCAACAGTTTCAGAATCAAGATTGGTGACTGAGGCCTGGGTACACCAAACACTTAAAACCTGGTGCCATAGTTACAAAGGACAAGAGGCATCTCATCACTAACAATGTGGAGGGAGTATTAGTGCAGACTGGAGGTAATGGTTCCAGAGAAATCTATTGGTGTCTATCCTGGCTAGGAATAGAAGCAAGAGCTACCAGCATTGCCATATGGAGGAGAGAGAGCCAAAGGAGAACACTGAAAGACGATGGAGTAATTGATCATCTGCAGAGAGGCTGGGAAGAAGGAACTGAAGCAGTTCCAGACTATAAGTAATCAATTCGATCCATTTATGATGTATTTTCATGGCAAACAGTTTAACCAATTGTGACTAATTTATTGTAATCCCGTCCAGGCTAAGGTAGACGATTCTCTTTCAATTAAAATAATTGGGACAGCTATAGCCATTTCATACTGTGCCTCTGGTACAGTGGTAGTGTCGCTACCTCTGAGGCTAGGCGCCCCTAGTTCAAGTCCTACGCGTGACATAACATTTCTGAACAGGTTGACCAGGGAGTATTTACATTGTGCGCCAATCTATTTACCTTGTTGCGAACTAATTTGACAAGCGCGTGTTAAAATACCCCTCCTCTGACAAACCGTTACCTACTCGCATCAGGACTGACTTTGAGAAAATTGCGTACTTTTGAAACAAAAGAAAAATACTGTTGGAGCAGACAGCACTGTCCAAACGACAGGTCTTTTAAAAGATCCCAGCCATCCGAATGCATTAGCAGAAGTTATTTGTAGTTATCGATTTTGCGTTTAATGGACGCTCCTCGTCCCTGCAAACACAATTGTATGAATTATGCACAGAGCAATAAAAGTGTTGAGTGTGTGTGTGTGTATATCAATGGGTTTGGTCGGGGGGGGGGGGGGGGGGCACGCGGTTGGCAAGGTGGTTCGCATCAAGGTAAATTGTTTGGCGCACAATGTAAATACTCCCAGGC